AAAATATATTAATTGTTTTAATTTTTAAATATAAATAAAGTAAAATTAAGAATTAAAGTAGTTTATAAATTATTTAAAATTTAAAAAATCCACATAATCATCTTTTACATGATGGATTTTCCACCTAATATTGAACATGTAAAATAGTTAATCACTTAGCAAAAAAATTAGCTACATCAACATTTAACTAATGGAAAGACGAAATTGAAAATTGAAGTTGAATGACGTTTTTGGTACTTTATGAAGTTTAAGGATGAATTGGTTCAAAAATAAAAGTCGAGGGACCAATTCAAATATTTAATCTAAAAAAACATGTTAGCCACGTCAGCATCACTATTCAATTAATCTTTAAATAGAAAAAGTTAAAAGTTGACATTTTTAAATAAAAAATGTTGAAAGTTAAACTGACAAAGTTAACATCCTTAAATAAAAAAAATGCAAAGTTGAAATCCTTATTTGCACCTTTACTCAATCTCTACCAACAAAAATTGTCTTTCCCCTGTTTTCTTTTATTTAGGTAATTTAGTGATCAATTAAAATTCAATAATTAGACTTTAAAAATTTATCCCTAACAAAGCTATAACATTTTTTTTAAAATAAATTAGAGTAGTACTAGTATGTATAAAGTTGAAATACTATATTTAATATCTCATATAAATAAAAAATATAACAACTTGTAAATTCCAAATTTCTTAAAAGTGTAACAACAAAATTAGGACTGAAAGGGAGTGACATGTTCGTAAAAAACTAAAAATAGAGTTCTTTAAGGTTTTAAAAATCGTACTTATGAGGATTGAAAGAAACATTCGAAAAATTAAAAAAGACTTATTTTTGTACAAACTAAGCTTCGACCCCTTCACCTGAACTTATAGTCTTCTTCAATTTCGTCCATGGTTTTTATAGTCTTCTTCCTTCTTCAGATGGGGTTTTCGGAACCATTAAAGAACGGGGGCTCGAGCTTGGCTCTGCAAACAGGGCAAACAGAGTGATTAGAAAGCCAAGTATCAGCACATGGCAGATGGAACCCATGGTTGCATCCAGGGATCAATCTCGCCGGCTGATCCTCTTCAATCTCATCGAGACACACCGCGCACTCTGTCCCTGTCACCAATTCCTTCCGGGTGACCTTAGGCAGCTTCTCCAGCTCGGCCGCCGACAACCCTTTTTTCTTCACCGGCTTCACCTCCCCTCCGGAATCACTCTGATTGTAATTCGTAGCAGACCGGATTAAACAAATGTAAACAAGGAAAGCAGAACTCATGCCTGCGCATGGTAAGAACAGCGCTAAAAAAACAGAGACGAGAATTTGCATGGTATAGAAGGAGAGTTTTTCTGGGAAAATATGGAACGAATGGATTTTGAGGGTTTAATTGGAGCTATTCGGAGGTAGGCAACGGCTATAATAGGAAGGGGAGTCAGGGAATGATGAGCTGTTACTTAGGGGAAATAAGATGATGCGTTTCGTGACGGAAAAGAGAGGGTCGGAAACCGCAGTTACGATTGCAAAGCCTTCTGCCATATGTAGTTTGCTGTGCTATGTTAAGCATCAAAGTCGAGTAAAGGTGTTAATAAAATATGTCAATTTTATAATTTTTTTTATTTAAAAATGTTGATTTTATTAATTTTTAAATAAAAATATTAATTTTTAACATTTTTTATTTAAAGATATCAATTTAAAATTTTTTTATTTAAAAATGTTAAATTTTAACATTTCCATTAAAAATTTTATTTGCCACATTAATATCA